AACATTTAAGATATTTTAATGATAACACATCATTAAAGAAGTGTAGAGCAGACTTGGGGCCAATTTTACTAACAGCTTGCACCAGCGCAAACCGCCTTTTGTCGTTAAAATAGTACTGTCAGGTTTTTACTAAAGACGCGCAGTGACGATTTAGAGCTGAAAGGCGCGGACAGTTATTTTTGAATATGCATTTGAGTTTCCCTTTCAGACGCATAAGTTATGGGAGGTCTGATTACTGGTAAAATTACTGGTATTTGCGCCATTATTTAACGCCCAAAAAAAGCATGTCGTAAACTATTTTGGGCTTGAAATGGCTGCAATTGTTGTTTCTTGGAGAGGTACTGCAGGCGTGGTAGAAGGAGAGAGGATTTTTCCCACACGTATTAATTTATTTTGAATGCCAGAAGAACACATTTCGTATGCATTTCATATTGTTTGCCAAGACATGTTATTTTTAATTTGCTTCAGGAAATAAAAGACGACTTGGAACCCTCAACTAGGAATCACACAAGACCAGGTATATCAAAACCTCTTGCAACCCTTCATGTTTTGGCCTCCGGTTCTTTTCAACGTACTGTGCTTCTTTATTTCTTTATTTGCGACAACGCAAATTTGCGATGCGCTTGGTATATTGCGTTGAATGATATATAAACGAGATGTTGCGTCTGTGTTCTTTTATTTGCGTGTTGTTAGTAAATCACCCGTAGAAACTTCCCTCCCATCGGCGCTGTTTTGGAATTGTACTCTCGTGCTAATTTGCCCTGTTTAGTAAAACTGGCCCTTGGTCCGTTTAAGAGCGACAGTGTTGCGGAAGCGTCTCTGATCAGACAGTCCTTTAACAGAGAGACGCTGCTCTGTCACCTGGGTGCCACATTTCAGTCCGGCCTCAAAGCATTCGCATCTGGAGCCCTGCGCAGACATTTTCTCTGAAGTTTACCTCAGTGCTGCGGAGAGACTGACTTAACTACAGCTCAGCTGTTTCACACACTCTTTAAAGTGAAGTTCAACTCGTTTCAGTTCGTTTAGATGGTTAATCTCAAGCAAACTGATAGAAATGATCACTTTCATTCAGCAGGGATGCATTAAACTGATCAAAAGTGACGGCGAAGGCATTTATAATGTTACAAAAGATTTCTGTTTCGAATAAATCCTGTTCTTTTGAACTTTCTATTCATCAAATGATCTTAAAAATATGGTTTCCATAAACATATTAACTGTTTTCAACATTGATAATAATCAGAAATGTTTCTTGAGCAGCAAATCAGGATCATGTGACACTGAAGACTGGAGGAATGATGCTGAAAATTCAGCTTTGATCACAGAAATAAATTACAGTTTAACAGATATTCACATCAAAGACAGTTTTTT